AAACATTAAAAAAAAAAAAAAAATTCTAGTGACGAGACATGGATTTATCACTATGAGCCTGAGAGTAAATGGCAGAGTAGGAATGGAAACATCTTCATTCACCGACTATCAGCTGATGCTGACAGTTTTCTGGGATACCAGTATTTGAACACTATCAGGAAAAAGGTTCAACAGTCAACCGTGCTCATTACAGTGAGATGCTGGTTGAAGAGCTGAAGCCTAAACTTGAGATTAAACACAGAAAACTGCTATCCAAGAACATTGTGATCTTGCATGACAAGGCACATCCACACATCTCTGCCCACACTGCTGACACTCTGAAAAATCTTTCTTTTGAGGTGTAAAGCATCCTCCCTATGGTCCTGATCCTACTCCATCAGACTTTCACCGGTTTGGTCCCCTAAAAGCAGCCCTTCAAGAACCAAGACTCACCTTTCAGGAATAAGTGAAGACAGAGGTGCATCTGTGACTGGCAGCTCAGCCTATAACATTTTTAAATAAGGGAATACCGAAGCTTGTTGACAGATAGGCAAAGTATATTTAAAAGCAAAGTGATTGTGTCAAAATATGATGTATTTGTCTTTTCTAAAAGTTCATTAAAATAAATTCTACAGCCAGAGTGTGAATTATTTTTGACTCACCCTTACAGAAAATATAGTTGTGCATCTAAACAAAAGTAGCACGTAACTGGTGAGGAAAATTGTATTAGCTTCAGATGTTTCTACTAAAACATTACAGCCCTAATAGAGTATTTTACAAATTTATCATACTCAAAGAAAAAATAAAATCATATTTTACATCCAGCAATACTTGTTTTCAAGTATAAAGGACAACATCTTATCTACTTGTAATAGTTCATACTTACAGGAACATTTCCTAAAGAATGCACTACAGAATACATTTCAGTAAGCAAAATAAACCAGTTCCATATAACAACAGATAAAAAGCATTAACTATATAGTTACTATATAATAAAAACAAATTGGAATAAATATAGTATGTTACAAGCCAAATGCTCAAATAATCTAAATATAGTACAATAAAAAAAAGTAAGGAGTCTGAAAGGCAGGAGAAATGGGAAGAACATTTGTATAAAATACATTCATTAGTAAGTATCTGGATGGAACTAGTATTAGCACTTATTCTGAGATGAAATGTATGTGAGACAAGCAAATGATTCATAATGGCATGTTCTAAGTTTATTACTGTCTTTAAAAATCAAGATTCTAAGAGATACAGATGTAATGATGAAGAGAATACATTATTTAAAAAGAAATTTGTAGTCATGAATTTGAACTATATCAGTATTAACTTACGAAATGTTTTAACACATATAATAATCGATTCAATAATAATAAACCACTCCAAGCACCCAGATTACAGTATTGAAAAGCCATTTTCTTTAAAAGAAGGCAAGGCTAATTTTTTAAAAATAAGGAGAAATGGCTAATCTATGGGACAAAAAAAAATTTAACAAGATGGCTTTAAAACATCTTGGCAAAGAAAATAGTGAAGAAATGATCAAAGATTACAAGGAACTGGGAGACAAAGACAGGACAATATAAACTTCAGTATGTTTAATAATTATAACAGACTAAAACCATAAAACATATTTAATGCAAGGAATTCAAAATTTAAAAAACGTATTAGTCATCTCCAGAGGATGATAAAGAACAAATTCATTATCTTGTAAATTGGTACATACATACTTACTTTTTCCATATGAATTATACATTTGGGTAATCAAATACTAGAAAAGGTGGTGTCTTTTTACAAAAATACTCAATGAAATGAAAAGAAATAATAAAATTAGAGTATTACCCTTTTGTGATCCCCAGTGCATTCATTCATGAATACTTAATGAAAGGCTTACATTCATACCAACAGATCACACCTGAATCTGATCTCTGGGTGTTGCTTCAATTTAAAAAATATAGAAAATAGAAGAGCATGATGAACTGAAAAACACTTAGAACTTTTTTAAGTAATTTAAAAAATAAATCACTCTTCCAAAAAGATTTCAATACAATTGACAGTTTATTATCAAGAAACATGAAAACTTGAATAGTAAATTTTTAAAAAGATAGTCTCAGTTTTAAAACACTAAAAGATGACAATCCATGATGAGACATATACAAGCAAAGATAATGAAAATATTAAATGCTATAAAAAGATGTTTTAATTCAAGCTGCTAATTATAGTCTTGGTAGAAGCTGCTGTACAGTTTTATGTCATGAAATTCACCACCGTCTCATGAAGACCAAGAAGCCTCATGACAAACTCAATCAGATAATTCACATTAAGCAGTGCTGGGTTTACCTGTGTTTTAAGCATTCACTATCACAAAAAGCACAAAATCCTATTTATAGGAATTTTCAGTTTCTTAAAAATGCATCTCAATTATCTTTTAAAGTGCCAGCTACAAATATGCTGTATACTGAAAGAAAAAGGCTTCTAGAAGAAGTATGAGATAACATCCCCAAACTGCCGAGTGGTTATATAACTAACCGAAGGAAACTGGCAGAACACTGCTTTGTTAGTGTAGCAACCTACTTTCTTGTAGTTAAGTTCTTCACTTTTATCAAACTACCAGCCAAACATGTACTCCATTGCTTTGGATACAAGACTTTCATCTTTTTTTGGCGTTTGTCTGTCAGAAATAACCTATTAAAAAACACAAATACAAAAACTTGTTAGCTTATGGATGCGTCATTGTCCTGATTAATTACAGAGCTAATTAATATCAAGAAATTATATCAAGCTAATATACATTACACTTAAATCACTAAGATGTAAAGTCAAAAAATTATTATTTTAGAAATGACAAAATCTTGCTCTGGGCAAGGCAAATTACATCTGCTCCTTAAGTTAGTAAAACAACCACAAAATGCAAAATCTGTCAGAAATGAGAGTTTCAACCTATCAGTGAAATAAAGGGAAAAAATCTCTAGAACAAGCTCCTCCAAATTTCAGGGGAAATCAAAAGACTAAGTTGTCACTAAGTGCCCGACCAAGGCTCAGGCATTTATTTCTTGTTTTTCAGGTCTTGTGTGTATAGATGGGTAAGTTCAGAACTCCTAAATAACTGATTCTTTCAGTGTTTAGTAATTGATAGATTTAGTCATTTAGAATTGGAAGGAAAAAAAGATAGTACTACAATAGTGATGTGAGACTTCAATAAACTACTTTCAATATTGGACAGGACATATATAGAACATTTCACCCCAAAACAGCACAATATACATTTTACTCCAATGCACGTGGATCATTCTCCAAGATAGACCACACTTTTACATCATGAGGCAAATCTTGGTAATCTTTTTAAAAGACGGAAATCATGCAAAGTATTTTCTCTGACCAAAATAGAATGAACGTAGACGTCAGTAACAGAAAAAACCTGGAAAATACACAAACATGGAAACTAAACGTACACTACTGAATTGACACCAGTGGATTAAAGAAGAAATAACAAATTTCTTAGTCAAATGAAAAGTAAAGAACATTATGCCAAAATCTAGAGGATGAAGTGGAAATCAATACTCAAAAGAAAGCTAATAGCAATAAATGCCTACATAAAGAAGAAAAAAGATCCAAATTAATAGCCTAACTAGATTATAAAGAGAAGCAGAAACTAAATCTAAACATACCATTCTGAGGAATAAGGTGCACCTGACCCAAGACATGGTATTTTTTTAAATTGTCTCATACGTATATGAAAGATGGACAATCAATAAAAAGACTGGGAAAGAATCGAAGCACTCGAATTATGGTGTTGGAAAAGAATACTAAAAATACCATAGACTGTCAGTGGAACAAACAAATCTGTATTTGAAGACGTGCAGTCAGAAGGCTTCTAAGAAGCCAGGATGGTAAGACTTTTTCTCTTATACTTCAGAATATTATCAGAGGGACCAGTCCCTGGAGAGAGACATCATGCTTAGTAAAGTGGAGTGTCAGCAAAAAAAGAGGAAGACCTGGAATGAGATGGACTGACACAGTGTCAGCAACAACAGGCCTAAACGTTAACAATTGTGAGGATGAACCAGGACTGGGCAGTATTTGTTCTGTCGTGCATATTGTCACCATAAGTCAGAACCAATCCAATGGAGCCTAATGACAACAATAACAACCAAAAGATCAAAGCATAAATAAATAAAATTGAAAACAAAAAGCCAATAGAGAGAATCAATAAGACCAGAATTTGGTTCTTTGAAAAGGTCAATAAAATTAACAAACCAATCTTTAGCTAGACTGACAAAGAAAAGATACAAAGTGAAAAGAACATTACAATTAACCCAATATGATTAAAAGAATTACAACAGATATCCAGTTTGACAACAAACTAGATAACCTATATGAAATGGACAAACCTCAGCAGCACACAATCTACCCAAAAGGAAATAGCAAGTCTCAACAGGCTTGTTAACAAGTGAAGAGATCCAATCAATGATAAAAATCTTCCAAGAAAAAAAGTCCTAGATGAGATAACTTGACTGGGGAGGTCTGCCAAATATTTAAATACAATTTAAACTCTTACAAAAGATAGAACAGAAAGGAATACTAATTCATTCTATGAAGCAAACATAACCTTTTATGACTATAGATACAAAACTCCTCAACAAAGTACTAGAATATTAAATTCGACAGCACATAGTCATACACCATGATAAAGTGAGATTTATTCCAGGAATGCAAGGATACGTCAACATTAAAATATCAATCAACATAATTCACATCATTAATTGAACAAGGGAGAAGAAGTACATGATCACCTCTAACACATGATCATCATAATGAAAGCAGAAAAAACTTTCAATAAAATCCAACACCCTTTCTTGAAGATAGCACTTAAACAAGACAAAAGGCAAATGTAAACAAATGAAAGTTAACTAATATTTACCAGAGGTGAGGGAGGGGTAAAAGGGAAGTGATAATCAAGAATAGGGTTGCACATACAGTCCCGAAAGCCAATGTTCTAAATCCTACTTTGCTGAGCAGTGACTGGGATCTTAATAGCTCATTAGGGGCCATTTAAGGTGGCTCTCTCCATGTGCAGAAGAAAGAAGAGTAGTGATGAAAACTGAAGATGTTGTTGTTGTCTGGTGCCATTGAGTCGGAACCGACTCATAGCGACCCCATGCACAGCACAACGAAACAATGTCCGATCCTGGGCCAACCTCACTACCGCTGCCACACTTGACACCATCAATAATGCCACCTGGCTGATCCATCTCGTTGGGGGTCTTCCTCTTTTTCTCTGACCCTCCACCTTACCCAGCATGACATCCTTCTCCAGCGGCTGTTCTCTCTGGACAATGTGTCCAAAGTATGAGAGACGAAACCTAGCCATCTTGGCCTCCAAGGAGCACTCTGGTTGCACTTCTTCCAAAACAGATCTATTGGTTCTTTTGGCAGTCCATGGCACTTTCAGTATTCTCCACAACTCAAAGGCATCAATTCTTCTACGATCTTCCTTATTCACTGTCCAGCTTTCATATCCATATGAGGTTATTGAAAATACCATGGCTTGGGTCAGGCGCACCTTAGTCCTCAAGCTGACATCTCTGCTCTTCAATACTTAAAAAAAGTTCCTGTGCAGCAGATTTGCCCAATGCAATACATCGTCTGATCTCTTGACTGCTGCTTCCGTGAGTGTTGATTGTTGATCCAAGAAGAATGAAGTCCTTGACAACTTCAATCTCTTCTCCATTGATAAGAATGCTGTTTATTGGTCCAGTGGTGAGGATTTTTGTTTTCTTTACATTGAGTTGTAATCCATACGGAAGACTGTGCTCTTTGATCTCTTCACTTTCAGCAAGCAAGGTTGTATCATCTGCATATCTGAAGATACTTGCAATCAATTCTTCCACTGGATTAACGGAGCACATGAACATCCGTTTCTCTGACTCTGAGACAAAAAGAACTAGATGGTGCCCAGCTACCACTACCAAGTGCTCTGAAAAGGATCACATTAGAAAGTCCCAGATATAAGAAAAAACCACTGGGCTTATTGGTCAGAACGAGACTGTAGAAACCTTAGACTGTCTGGAACAGAACTCACCCTCATGGCGCAATTTTCAACAAAACCATGTATAGGTATATAGGTGAGGTGGGGAATGGGGGACAACAACACTGGTGAGGTATGCTCACCAAGGAATGGTAGGACAACAGTGACCTGGGAACAAGGTTCAGAGAGATTGGGAAGGAAGGTAGAATAGGAAGAGGAAGCACAGGGAGGAAAGTGGAGGAAAGTGGATAACTGTTGCTACATGGAGGGGATTACAGTCACTGAGATCAAACAAAGCATGTGATTTGTTGGATGTGAAACTGATGATTTGCTTGCTCTGTAAACCACTCAGTTCACAATAAAAAGTTTGGGGAAAAAAAAAAAAAAAAGAGTAGGACTGCACAGCCAATTATTGTAATTGCTGTTTATAAACAGTACACCTATAAAAAGTTGTGTGATATACGAGGGGGGTTTCAAAAGGTATGTGGAAAATTTCCATCTTTACACAAGCTCTTTGAAGTCCCCTTGTATTTACAACAATGAAACAATGACAAAAAAAAGTAGCTGCTGAGTGAGTGCTGAGGCCTCACGGGATTTGATCCCTTGGCTTGGCTTTATATGACGCCCAGTTAATTGGCCTAAGAATGTGTTCAGTACTTCTGTTCTACCTCCTACTTCCTTGTATAAGTGCCTACAGTCTTAAAAGCTTCCTGATGTCCAATCAGGGCACAGAAATTGGTGTTTATTCACCTGGAGCAACATAAGAAGGAGAGTCAGGAACAGAAGGATATAGCTAACTGCCTTCATGAAGAACTGCCTCTTTCGCCACGAAGCCAGAAGAATTGGATGGTGCCCTGCTACTATCACTAAACATTTTGATCAAAAATTCTATAAAAGAATTCTGATCAAAAGGGGAGGAATACAAAACAGAAGTTTAAATTATCATAAACTGTAAACATTCTGAAGTCAGACACGCTGAATAAACCCCTGACACTAATGACCTAAGGTAATTTTTAAACCTTAAACCAAAAATATCCCCTGAATTAACCTTAAAACCAAGAAGTTTATTTTAGCTTAACCAGTAGAAAAGTCTGCTTTGAACATTAGTAAGAACTATGTGTAGCGTAGTGGTTACAAATCGGGCTGTGACCCTCAAGGTCAGCAGTTCAAAACTACCAGTTATTCTGTGGGAGAAAGATGAGGCTTTCTGCTCCCATAAAGATTTACAGTCTCGGAAACCCTGCACGGGGTCGCTATGAGTCGGAACCGACTTCACGACACATCACCACCACCATGTACCTATATGGGATCAAATTGAAAAAGGATCAGGTTAAGAAATTTAGGAGGTAGTGAGTTTATGTTAATGAATAGCTCAGAAAAGGAAGATAAAAATGGTAACACAACTTAAAAATGTTGTGGTGCAGTGAACTGTTCAATATGTCTCTTCTAGTCTTAGTCTTTGTTGTTACGTGCCATCAAGCTGATTCCGACTCATAACAACCCTGTATAATTAGGGCTTCCAAGGAGAGGCTGGTGAGTTTGAACCATTGGCCTTGCAGTTCAAACCAACCTTGAGGTCCAGAGCTTATACTATAGCACAACACCAAAACTCCGAATCCTTATTGGTCTTTGTTGTTGTTGTTGTTAAGTGCCATCGAGCCCCACCAAATGACTCTTTTCATGATGGGTCTGGGTAAAAGATTATGGGAAAAGACAATGCTAAGATGACAAGATTCAGCTGTGGAAGTTAAAGAGTTATAAAACATGAAATTCTAGCATGGGTATAACAGGAGGCATATCTCAGAAACCAGAAGGGGTATCTCACTACTGCTAAGGAAGAGCCAGGAATGGAGCACATCCTTTGGACCCCAAGATCCCTGTGCACAGAAATATTGTCGACCCAGAGGAGTGGCAGAGGAGTAGCAGCAGCCAATCCAAGAGTCAGAGCACAGCACGAGACAGAGCAGTGGGATTCCCAAGCCCACAGAGCAAGTAAAGCTGAACAACTTTGAGCAGAAGCCTTGCTTGTAGAATGCGCTGCCTCCAGACTCTTAATTGGGGGAGGTAGATATGCTGACAAATGGACCTAGAGCCAAACAGAGCTAGAGATAAGTGCCTTCAGTGTTATGTTTTGTGGGCATTTATCAGCAGCGTTGTAACACTGGCTGGGCCAAGAGTAGCCTACCTGCGGGCATAGCTAAGGACAGGTTGTATGACTGGAACAACTGTGACCTGAGCATTTCTGACCCTGCATTGCAATCTGCTAACTTTCCTAATAAACCCATTACTCTCTGTATGGTGTCTCAGTTCTGTATAGACACTGCAATGAATAACTGAACCCAGTTGAGTAGTGAGTGCTATGGGAAAGATGGTAGCATTATTTCATTTCAAATGGAATCAATGCCATTAACTTGTACATGTAGGAACTGTAGAATGATGTATGTTTTGCTGTATATATTCTCAATAACCATGCGTGTGTTCTGAATAAATAAAATTCAGAAGGAAAACAATAAGACAACTTTGCAATTGACCAAACTAATTTTAAACGTAAATTCAACAATGCAGATTTTAACAAAGCAATCACCTCAAAAGGAAATATTTAATAGCATATACAGCATTCCAATAAAATAGTTACTTTTTTTTTTAAATCCAATTCTTAAAAATACCTGATAGTCACTAGTAGACGTTTTATACGCTGTGGCAAGAGGTCTCATGGTGGAAATCCTAGGAGTACTCCCAGGCTGTGATGGTGTACCTAAGGTTTTGATTGGTGGTGTAAAGGCTAGAGATGGAGATGATAAAACACATCTTTCACTGTTTTCCATAACACTCTAGAGAAACAAAGATTAAACAACCACTGTTTATAAGCATAATACATATTATCAAATATTATATCCTACTTACCATGAAAATGTTATTACGAGGCAAACTTTAATCTAATTAATCTTTCAAATAATTTTAGGCTTAAAAAAACAATGTTTATTAGCTAGACAATAAAAAGAGGTATCATGTGCGCTTTGTTTATTTACATACGGTATCAGCACAAAACAGTGCTGGGTATATATACATATAGTTGTTGCTTTTGTTGTTGTTATGAGCCATGCAATCGGTTCTGACTCATAGCGACCCAGTACAGGGTTTCCGAAGCTGTAAATCTTTAGGGGAGCAGAAAGCATCAATCATGTTTCTCCCGCAGAATAGCTGTAGTTTCAAACTCTGACCCTGAAGTTAGCCGCCTGATTCGTAACCACTATGCTCTCTCACGTGCGCTTGCTTGTGCTCACTTTCTCTCTTCTCTCACACTCTGTCTCTCTCTCTCAATATATATATGTAAGCTCACATATATTTGGTTTAGTAAGTATACAATATACCATAATTTTTTTAAATGCTAAAAAGAAAATAACAAAACTTCTAGTCATTTAAAAGCTATATCAATAGTTACCACTGATGAGAAACATATCATTTGACTATCTCTTGAAAGTATACAAACAATACAATTTTATGTTGCACAAGCAACAGGAAAGGGTTGGAAGACAAGTGGTCTAGAATCCAGACCTCACCTTTAACAACTCTGGAAAAGTGACATAAGCCCTCTTGGCCTCTAATTCTTTTATCGGAGAAATAAATAGGTTGGACTAGATTCTCTCTAAATTCTGAATTCCTATGATTATATATTTTTGACTTACCATTAACAAGTACACTATAAACCTCAACACATTTTACAAAATAAGAAAAAAGTCAGTGAAGCCATGACAAAATCACCAAAGTCAATGCTTTTGTTATGTATAATTTAAAACTTTGTGAAGTACATAGTAAGTTACATAGTAATTATATTTATACTTTGAGCACTATCTGAAAAGTCTGAAATTTATTCCCCTATAAATGATCAAAATAAAATGTTTTCTCCCTTAGAGGAGAACACTTTGAATCTTAGAGTTACACTTATATAAAGGGTTACTACAACATAAAAGTACCACAGATAGTAAGTAACTGGGAAAATGGTATGATTGTAACCATTTGCTTTAAATTGAAGAGATTAGAAGAACTATTTTATGTAATTACTCATGGAATCTTAAAAGTGACACCATTACTACCGTTACTACAGAAACTAAAAAAATAGACTGGGGAATGGATACCCAAGTTCAAAGATTCAAGTGTTCTTCATAAAGATCAAGTTATTTCCCATATATCAGCAATAACTTACTTTATCTATACATGGTTTTACGCCAATCATGATGCACTCTCCAAAAATTCTCCCATCTTTACTTAAGGCCTTCCGGGCCTGCAGTTTAGATTGATAACGAATATGCATCCAATTTCCTGTGTTAGACATCTGCAAAGAATGAAGGCTTTTAAAATAAGTTACATGAAACTTAAGCTCATTACCATTAGATATGTAAGTATGTTACAATAAACCTACTTCTTTTTATTTGATATATACTGTAACAAGTTGTATATTAAGGTTCAACCAAATTCTTATTTAAATAATTTCTATCATTTCTTTCTAGTATCAATTCTCTGAAATAAAGAACATATGGCAAATATTCTTTGAAGGCAAAATAATTCTTAAAAGGTAATTGTTTCTTGTAAAAAGATTACAGCAATACTTTCCATGAAATTCTTTAAAACTGTATTCATCCATGATTTTAAGAGCTACGTAAATCAATTTCTAATAATGTAAAAAATTAATTTATTTATAATTTATTATAAGGAGCCAGAGTAGCATAGTGGGTTACAAGTCAGGCTGCTAACTGCAAGGCCAACAGTTTGAAACTACCAGCCACTCCACAGGAGAAAGATGAGGTGTTCTGCTCCCATACAGACTTACAATCTGGGAAACACTATATAGTGTTGCTGAGTCAGAACCGACTAGGTGGCACACAACCACCACCACCATAACTTATTTTGCAAGGTAAAGAAATATTTTTTTTAAGTCTTCCATAAATTAAAATTAGTCCAAAAATCTCTGTATGCTGAGGAACTTCCCTCTCTTCCTTTATTCCCAGTATAACAAGCTCAAATTAGAAAACAGTAAGGTAACATTTGCTATAATCTAACTTTTAAAAGATTGAACTCGTTATGAAAAGAGGTGCAAAACTGAAATTTTGTATCTTCACTATCTTGTGTCTCGATCCCTTTTCTATGAAATCAACTATGCAGCTTTGCAGTCTTTGAGTCCAAAGAATATGTTCTACCAACTTAAATTGAAAAAAAAAAAAAAAAAGAAAGTACAAAATGTTATACTTGAAAAACGACAATTTAAATTAAAAACTGAATTAAAATTCAGAAACAAAGTTTCCCTGACTCAACAGTTTCTTTCCTTAGCTTAATTCCTAAACTGAATTAAAATGTATGCCTTACCACATGTTTTAAGATATTCCCATATTGTGCAAACTGCAATAATATATAAGAAGCAGATGCTTGAGGAAACCTGAAAAAAAAGAATTGTCCAAACAAAACACTCAATTTCCACAATAAATATTAATGTAAATTAGCATACTAACAAGTATTTCAAGATAAATTCCCCCCAACTGTCCAGAGCATTAATAGGTAATCCGGGATCATCCTGTTTCCCTTATCCCAGTTAACTCTATCATCACTCTGTTAATTACCAAAAACAAGTATCTTAAAATAGTTTTCACTGAACTATTCTTCTCCATCTCTGAAATCCCTAAAATTTCATTCCAACCTAAGAAGTTGCAGCTCTATGTACTACAGTTTTACAGGTGTGTATGTGTGTGTGTTTAAGTGCATGGTTTGTATGCAATCTTAAGTAACTACTATACTATGGTTATTAAAAGACAAAAATTAAAACCTTTATCATATTTTTATACATTCAGGGCCACCTGAAAATTCTGAAATTTAGTTCCCTATAAATGATCAAAATAAACTCTCATCAAAGGAGAGTGCATTGGTTCTTGCAATTAGATGCACATGAACTAAAATATAAAAGCACCAAAAAACATAATCATTGGAAAAGTAGCATGATTTAAAAAGGAAGAAAAGGACTACCAGAAACTTCAAGTAATTTATCCAATTACTCTTAGAATTTAAAAAAATGATACTATTACTACAGAGATTGAGAACAGTTGAGAAAAATCACCCACGTTTAAACGCACAGCTATTTCATGAGAGAATATAAAAATTTAAATGCAAAACAAAAATCAAGAAGCCAATATAACTGATATGGATACAGGGCTAACCGTGGGATTTCTACAGAACAGGGAAAATGCAATAATCCTGCTAATTTTACGTAAATGGAATCACTAACACATAGAATCTCCCAGAAAGATACACAGAAAATCAGGTAGCAATGTTGCCTTAGAAAGAAAAAAAATTGTGGCTGGGGACAGAAGTGGGGAGGTGACTTTTTATGTACCTTTTCGGTTATTAAATTTTAAATAAAATAAATATATAAAATTTACTAAATATTTAAGGGGCATTTTTCTTCCTCCAAAGAGCTAGTATGATTTTTATTACTGAAAACATACATACACATAGTAAGGTCCAGTATCAGTATGGAAAATAACTTATAGAAATAACACTTATGTAGTATATACATAATTAGTCATGAAACTTTGAATAAATCACTTAGCCTGTAAATCAGTTTCCTTATCAATAAAAGATGTTACAATCGATCACTAAGGTGCCTGAAAATACTTTTTTGAACCTAAAATTTTATTTAAAGCGCTTCTAGAACTATTATTTTGTTAATATTCAATAATTTGTGACTATAAAGTATCAACCTGTGGTATAAAATGTGTACAAATAAAGTTCAATTTGTTATTTCAGAGCTGGTTAACATAAGTCCTCTAGAAGGAGAGAATTAGCCACTAAAAAGAGGTAAAGGAGCTTCAAGCAGCAGCCCCAGTCAAACATCCAACCATGCAGACCAGAAAATAATTTAGAAAGGGTAGGCATAAATAATGAAAAATTATATACAAATATTGGATCCTAGAGTTAATGATATACAGCTGAAGTGTCAGGTGATAGGTATTGATAGCTACAATTTACTCTGAAATCAATTTTTTTTAATGATTTGATCAATAGAAAGATAAAACAAGATAGCAAATTGTTATATGCAGAATCCACATGGTGGGTATGTGGATGTTTGCCGTGCATGCCTTTCAATTTTTCTGTATGTTTAGTAATATTCATTATACAAAGGGGCAGTACTTTTTTTAAAAAAAGATAAATGATGCAGATATCTTACCCAAACACAGTCACCCAAGTGTCATCAAGATGATCTTCTGATGTTAAAGAATCTCCTTGAGTATAAAAAGGATCCAACTGAGCAGGAGATAATGTGGTCTTTCGTGGCTGACCAATATTTGCTGGACTAAACATACTTTGACCTGTATTATTATATTTAGTTAGTTGCCAATATAAGCATGTTGGTATACTTTAAATCACAGCTTAGTTTTAAATGGAAAAAAGCATACAAAAATTTGACAAATATACAAGTAAACCAAAATACACAACTGTGATCAAATAATAATTTCACACTGGCACGTAATCTGACAAGAATCTTGGTGTGGCACTGTAGGATCAGCACTGGAATGTGAACCACAGGGTCAGCGGTTCAAACCCATCATAAAGGGTCACTATGAGTCGGAACTGAGTCAACAGCACTTAACAACAACAACATAATTTTACAGGAAGTCATTAGTAAGTTGACATAGTTTGATTTTTTATATGTTATTACTTGACTGTTTGTCACAAATTTACTAAATGTTTTATTAATTTCTGATTAAGGATGTACAATCTGTACAGTCAACCTTTACAGATTTCTACTGGATTCATCTTCCAAGCCTACCACTTTCATCATGGCCTCTCTGCCTAAGAAACTTGCAGCATACCCTAATTACCTACAGAACAGAAATACAAATGCTTTCCACAATATGGTTCCAAATTTCTTTTTCTAGTCTCCTCTTAAGAGTACCTACTTAGCCCCTAAGAAGTGGGTTCAGTTTTCCTTTACTCAGGTCATTTCTATCTAAAATGTCTACTCCCATTTTCCTCTTGTTTCTTCTCCTTGGATAACAGTGACCAATTAATGATTGATTACTATGCATCTAACATGCCATACTGAATGTTTACATGTTCATTTTCTCTTCAGAGGCACTATTCTTTTGAAACTGTATTTCTCAGGAGACTATTTTTTTTTTATTATTGTAGCAGTATTTCTCAGCATTTAAATATGCATCAAGTATCAATTCTAAGTATTGAGAATACAACAATAAACAAGTTAGACAAAAATGACATATTAAACCCATTTGTCACGGACCTTAAATTTAGTGGAAGAGAAACAAATATTTATGTGTTAGAAACAGAAAATGCCATGTTTTTCTGAAAATAATAATAATACTAATTAAGAGAAGGGAGATAGGGATAAAGTATATATGCATACTACCCTTTGCCACAGAGTCCATTCTGACCCACACAGGATGGAACAGAATTGCCCTGAAAGGGTTTTCAAGGCTGTTACCTTTACAGAAGCAGATGTCATAGCTTTCTCCCAAGGAGCAGCAGCTGGGTTCAAACCTTTCAGTTAGCAGCCAAGCACCTAACCACTGTGCCACCTGAGCTTCTTATATATGTACATAAAGGGCTTAAAATTAAAATAATGTACGAAATTACTTTACTTAGGTGCCATTAAAACAAAACCCTAAAGGCGGTTGAGTAAAAACATGCTAATTTATGAAAGTATTCTCCTATAATATGTTATTAAATAAGGAATAACAGATGTACTGCCATCTACTTTGCTCCAAAAGGCCAGGTACTTCAAAGAGCTTCACAAAACACAATGTGAATGCTGTGTCCCAGAAAGGGTTATATATAAAAACATACATTCTACTTCCCACCAACTTTCTCTATAAAGCTGGTGACATATTCAATATGTCATAATGTAAGGATACAATACAAAAAAAAATTTTTTTTAAGTGATTAACTTTTCAGTCTAGGAGCAGAGGTCCCTGGGACCATCAAGAGAGAAAAGTGGAGTGCAGGACCCTGCCCAGAGAAGCCGTGATGCCTGAGATGGAAGCAGAGATGACGTGGAGAAATGGAGCAGATAGGGGCTTCAGACACAGAGAGGGAGAGGGGCTGTGTGCTGACAACCAGCGGGCAGGCTTGTAGTGTACACCCTTTGGTTGGTTGATGATGCATGGAGGGAATTGTAACCATGGCAATGAAACGATATACGATAGGATGAATGTAAAACTAATGTTCCCCCATGTAAACTATCACATAATTCACAATAAAACATTAAAAAAAAAACATGCTAAATGTACAGAAGTACTATCAGGTAGGGAAAACAAGCACATTATTTTTTAATTCCACTTTTCCACAAATTTCTTGAAGCCTCTTGAGACGTGCTTTTGCAGATATGGGAAGAGAGAGTAACAAGAGAATGCTCTTTGCACAGAGAGCAGAAGATTTGAGCAAGATGGGCACTATTTGCTAAGAGGGTAGAGGATCTGAGTTTAGAACAAATAGGAGATGAAAAATGTTATTATCATAGAAAGTTAACAAAATGTCAGATCACAAAGAAAAAGTCTAGTAAACCACTGCAAAAAACTGGTAGGAGCTCTGGTAGCGTAGTGATTATGAATCGGACTGTGAACCACAAGGTCAGCAGTTCGAAACTACCAGCTGTTCTGAGGGAGAAAGATGAGCCTTTCTGCTCCCGTAAAGATTTACAGCCTCAGAAACCCTGTGCAGGGTTGCTATGAGCCCGAACCGACTCCCGGGCACATAACAACAACAACACATCAAGTGAGTTGAGAAGCCATTGGAAATTTCTGACTATGAGTGGAATAACAGGATTTAAATTTGTCAAATGATAACGAAAGCTAGCATTTCAAGTGCTTATAATTATATAAGCTAAGCATTTGCATGCATAATTTTATTTAATCTTAAAATTTCTGTAATATAGGTCCTATCAGTAGCTCCACCGAACAATTTAAGAAAAAGAACAAGAATAAAAAGCATCCAGAAAGAAAGTTGTAATTCCAAGAAAGGCAATCTACATGCAAAGCACGAACTCTTAGCCAGTGACCTAGTGAAAACTTAGGTTTACTATAGCGGTGGTTCTACAAGAGTAGTCCACAGACTCCTAGATCAAGACCCTCTCATGGGACCCACCAGGTCACAAATTTTTTCATAATATTAACAGGTTTCATTAGTCTTTTTTTCACTCTCTTTCTCCTATGAGTGTAGACTTTCCCAGAGACCACTTGATGTGATTCAATCAATTCAGATTAAATGCAGAAATAGATATGATTCAGCTATATTTTATTAAATCAGACAAATTTGCAACGCATAAAACATTATTCTGTTTTCTTTTGGAAAATACTTATATTTCATTTTTCAAAAGAGGTTACATGTTCATTTAATCTATTTGCTGTTGTTAATTGTTGTCAAGTTGGTTCTGATTCCTAGTGACCCTGGGTAGGGTTTCCATGGCTATAAATCTTTTGCAGGAGCAGAAAGCCTCAGATTTCTTCCACAGAGCAGTTGGTGGGTTCAAACAGTCGGGCCTTGTGGTTCACAGCTCAGTGCTTATCCCACAGAGCCACCAAGCTTCTGTGTATCTATTCAATACTATGAAATTCTGTTATAATTTCTAAAGCTGTAAATATCAATAGCTATAGTGCATAGTGGTTACAAATCGGGCTGCTGATCCCAAGGTCTGCAGTTCAAAACCTTGAAAAAAAAGGATGAGGCTTTCTGCTCCTGTAAAGTTTTACAGCCTCAGAAACTCTATGTAGGGTCGCTATGAGTCACAATTGACTCGACGGCACTTAACAACAACAAAAACATAGTCTATATGGAGTCCAGGTGTGACACTGTGGGACAAAGCACTGGACAGCAAGGTAAGCAGTTCAAACTCACCAGTCACTCTTTGGAAACTCCATACAGGGTCGCTATGAGTGGAACTGAATCTACAGCACTTAACAACAACATAATCCATATAAATAAAATGGTCTTTGATCTTCAGTTTTTAAGAGTGCACAGAGGGAAACCTGAAACTAGTGAAGAATCACTGTTCAACAAGGCCTTACGGACGACTCATACTTCATTTTTACTAACTGACTTTCTGGAACCTCTTGGATCAACATGTCCTTAACTGTAGGCTGTCCTGCCATTTGTTCTGAATGCCCCAATGAATCGTAAAATCACACTAAGTCATTCCAAAGTGTTTACACTTACATGAACAAATGAATTTTTCAAAGTTAGTTTTACAGATAAAAGAAAATTCTCTACAGAAAAACAAAACAGAAAAAAGATTCCATTGTCTTTTGGGGAGATTTACAAAGCACATTAACATATTTAAAACTCTGTTTATTCTATAAAAAATACTTATAACTTCATTTAATTCAAAATTTTCTATACTTACTTTTTACCCTGCAAAGTACACATTTTGGTAAATGCTGGTCTTGTGTCAAGTATTTCCCAAATGTCTAATAAATGCCTGACTAACAGGGAGAATTACAGGAACCAAGGCTATTAGGAAATGTATAATAAAGACATTTATTCAAATCCAAAGCTGAGATGCAAAAAGGGTTACCTACTGAGTTTTAATTTCCTATTCATGAATATAGAATGATTTCCTCAGAGCCATACAAAGAGAAGCTTTCTTAATAAATAAGCTATAGGCAACAACCAGACACACAGGCATACTATTAACTCACCACAAAAAAAAGACTGAAGAGCCAAGTTATTCTCAATTTTGTATTTTAAAATAATTTTCAAAAGGTCAATCACACACACACACACACACACACACATATATATATCTATATATATATGGCTAAACAGTGGTGCTGTAGGATAAACTTGAACTGCTAATCACAAAGTCAGCAAGTCAGCAGTTCAAACCCACCAGCTGCTTCTTGGAAATGCTATACAGGGTCGCTATAAGGCAGAATCAACTTGACAAACAGTGCCCCCCAAATTATTGTTGTTGTTGTTAAGTGCCTTTGAGTAGGTTCCAACTCAGAGACCCTATATAGGGTTTCCAAGAAGCAGCTGGTGAGTTTGAACCATCAACTTGGCAATTCAAACCGACCTTGGGGTCAAATTCTTATCCTACAGTGCCACAGCTCCTCATGTTCCAACAGTTACTGAATTGCAAAGAGTAATGAAAATATTTTTAATGTACAGGTGGGGAAAAGTAGTATAGCATCAAACTTTTGGGAAGGAAATGTGTAATTTCATTGTTATTGTTAAGTGTCTTCACGTCGATTCCAACTCATAGTGACCCTGTACAGTTTTTCTGAGGAACAGCTGTTGAATCTGAACCACCAACCTTGCAGTTCAAACAGACCTTGTGGTCCAGTGCATTATCCCA